GGCGGGGGGCACACACGCAAGGGGTGGTGGTGCAGGGGTCCGGATGAAGTTCCTGCCGACCTCTGTGGTATCTGAGGTCAGATGATGATGGAGGTCAGGGTGTACTCCTGGAAAGCATTATCTGGGCTCAGAGGGCAGCTGATTATGGGAGGTGAGGCTTGGGATCTGGCACTGTGTATGCTGTTAGCCTGGTGGGGGAAGTCTGGCCGGGAAGCATGTACTTCCAGACACAGGCTGGTGTACCCAGCGCCCCAACCAGAGGCTGTGCAGGGTGTCACTGGCTGCTGGGTGGGTGAGGGCGAGGGCTGGCTATGCTTTTGGTCCCCAGCAGGGTGTGGAAGGAGCTGATCTTTCTTGTTGCTAGGCCCATCTGGAGTGGAAGCTACTTCTGGCAGGTCAGGCTGGCGTCTTTACCTGTCTGTCCCCTCCGTTTGCCTGAGGCCACTGTGAGTGGGAGCCGACTGCGTGGCCCTTAAAAACCCTGGCAGCAAGCTATACCTAGGAAGACGTCTGTGGTGTAAAGGCTTGCCTTGGCCCAAGACTGACTTCTTCGTACCAAACCAATCAGCAGGCCCACCCCCACTTCCCTCTCACAGCCAGATGCCTGGCTCTCTCTAGGACAGCGGTTCTCAACCTGTGGGTCACGATCCCTTTGGGGGTCGAACAACCCTTTCACAGGGGTCACCTAAGACCATTGGAAAACACAAATATTTCACAGTATACAATTGCATTATTGTTTTGTGATTAATCATTATGCTCAAATTATGTTTATGTTCAATTGTAACAATGAAAAATACATCCTGCATATCAGATATTTACATTATAATTCATAACAGTAGCAAAATTGCAGTTATGAAGTATCAACGAAAATAATTTATAGTTGGGGTTCACCACAACATGAGGAACTGTATGAAAGGGTCGCGGCATTAGGAAGGTTGAGAACCACTGCTCTAGGACATTCCTGTCTCTCCCACCACCTTGCCTCCGGACTAGACCAGCTGCTCGTCTGTCCATGTGAGGACAGGAAGGGGTGTTGGACATGGTCCCTGACGGGGGACCACGGGGGTGTTGGATAGGTCTCTGTGGAGGGTGGCCATGTTGTTCATGGTCCCTGTGGAGGGTGGACGTGCCATGCACGGTGGCTGTGAGGACAAGAAGGGGACGTGGGACAAGTCCCTGTGGAGGCTGGGGTCACACATGGTCCCGGGAGGACAGAAGGGGGGTTAGACATGGGTTTGGCACTGGCCCAGTGGCACGGAGGTAGGGTCTTTGTTTGCAGACCTTATTAGCCCAGAATCACAAGTGTCTGGGGGTGTCCCTGCACCACTCGGGACAGCCCAGAAGGAAATCTTGCTGGCCCTGCCCCTGTGATGGGCAGCGGTGGCAGTATGTTAGGACTTGGTAGCCAGCATTCTTGAATCCAGGGACCCCCAACCCTCAGACCCTTCCACCAGAATGGGGTCAGCATTCTGTGGCTGCTCTGCCCGGGGCTAGTGTGCTTTTACTGAAAGCTCAGGTGGACATCTGGACTGCCCCACATGGCCCTGGGCTCCTGTCACATACCCCAGACTCCTCCCACAGGGAAAGCATGCACAGACGCAGCACCACGCAGCCCTCCACCTCTGCACAGACGTTTACTGACCAACTGCACTCGGGAAACAGCGGCCTCGGCACCCGCAAGGTGGCGAGTGGGTGCTGTTGACACAGTCCCAGGGAGATAGCTACTCCCTGAGTGGGGGCTGCTGCTGGGCAGCCTCCTCATCCGCCGAGTCTTGTTTCTCCCGCTCGGCATCCACCCACTTCTGGGGTGGGATCATCTTCTTGGGTCCGTGAGGAGGTGGGCCGATCAGGGCCTCGATGTCCTCGTAGTTGACCACTTCTTTCTCCAGCAGCGCGTTGGCCAGCTGGGGGACGAGGTGTGCACAGTGTCGGCCGATAACGCCCATGCAGTGAAACCTTCCTGGCTTCCCAGGAAGCCCGGGTACAGAGAACAGCCGGCTTTCCCAGGAGCCTTCCCAGCCACCAGCCTCCTTGGGCTCCCCTTCTGTGTGAGTCTGCTCCCTTCAACAACCATCCCCCTCCCTCCTGGGGACCGGGCAGCGTCCCCCTCACTTACAGCCTGCAGCTTGTCCAGGTTGTCCCGCAGCACCTGCTCCGTGTGCCTGTAGGCCTTTGCCACCAGCAGCTTTGCTTCCTGCAAGCAGAGGCGGCGAAGTGTGCAGCTGGGGCAGGGTGGAGGAGGTGGAGGACGCTGTCCACCCTGCCTGGCCCCCAAGGGGTGTTGGGGGAGTGGGCCCAGCACTCACATGGTCCATCAGGTACTGGAGGCCCTGGCTGAAAGGGCGCCGGCCGACCCCGGCTGGCCTTTCCTGGGCATCAGGGAAGGAGATGGGCCCGATGCTGGGAGCCATCCCAAACTGCTGCACCATGGAGTAGGCGATCCTGGTGACCTTCCGCAGGTCGTCCTGTGCCCCTGTAGTGTGAAGGGCCCCCCCGAACCACCACGATGCTGACGGGAGGTCTTGCCCTCTTCACAGCTCCTTCCAAGACCTGGGACTAGATGCCTGCCAGCATGGGCCCCGAGGACCCCAGTCTCCATGGAGGGTAAGCCCCAAAGTCACACATGGGGAGGCAGAGGCCCTGGAGCCCAGTGCCTGGAGGCTGGAGGACAGTGAGGCCACCTGAGCTCCCAGGTGAAAGCGGTCCTCCTGTTTTGTGAATTGGAGGAAAGCCCTGCTTCCTCCTAGACTCCTAGTGTGCCCCTGGCTGGGCCCGCTCCCACCCAAGCAGAAGGTGTCAGTGGCTGGCCGCGACTGCTCCTCACCAGAAGTGACCCTGTTGAAGGAGATGGCCTCGGAGGCACGGCCGCCCAGCGCCATGCACATCCGCTCAAACAGCTGCTCTTTGGTGAAGAGGTGCTGGTCCCGTGGCAGTATCTGGGCAAAGCCCAGGGCTGCATTGGTCCGGGGCGCGATGGAGACCTGTGGGTGCCAAGGTGCTGTCAGCATGACAATGGGCTTCTGGTGGAGAAGGGCGAGGCCTGCCAGCAGGGCTTGGGGCAGAGAGAACCTTGCTCGCAAACACCAGCGACAGACCCTGTCTTTGGAGCCTACGAGGACACAGCTGCTCCCCGACAGACCACCCAGTGGTTTCCTGAGGGACCCCTGCTGCCCTCTACTTTAAGGAGGCACCCAGGCCAAGGCACCCACACCCCATCACAGTCACTCTGGAGTCTGCCACCAATCCACTGTTACTGAAGCCACCTTCACCAAGCTTACCAACCACGGCCTCTGAGCATAGCATCTCAGCTCGGGAGACATCTAATTAGCTGGTGACAATTCCCGGTCCGAACCTCATGGCCCTCCTCCTGCGAGTCCCACCTCCGGGGTGTGTGCAAACCCACCTTCATCACGGCCTCGGTGTGCTCCAGCAGCCAGCCGACCAGCGCATGGCCTGACTCATGGAAGGCAACCACCCTCCGCTCCTCCTTGGACAGGATCTTGCTCTTCTTGGCCGTGCCTAGGATGGAGCCAGCGGGGAGGTGAGCCACCTGGTTCTGGAGTCCGCCCCCTGTGGGGCTGCCACCCCCGCCCCTGAGGCTGTCCCTGCAGTTGAGAGCAATCATGGGAGGTAAGGGGGTGAGGAAGGAGTTTCTACTTTTCCTTTTACAAGCATTACAACAGACCTCATTTTTCTGCAGGACAGGACTCGGGGAGGCCAGCGTGGGAACCCAAGTTCCAGTTTCTTGCTCATGCTCCCTAAGACCTCCTAGAAGCAGCCGTTTGCAGTCGCTCTGCTCCGACACTGCTGTCCCATCACTGTCCCCGGTTCCCAAGACTCCCCAGTGTTTCTTGCAGCCTGGATGAGCACCGAGTGCACCTCTGAGAGTCACCGAGACCCCTTTCACTGTGGGACGGCAGCTGCTGTGCGGGGTGCACACTCAGGGGCGTGCTCTGGCCCCACCCCAACAGGGGCACATAAGCAGACGTGGTCTGGGTGAAGACTCACTACATCAGCAGCAGCTCTCTCCCCACCCCATCGTGAGCCATCGGCCTTTTGCTCTGAGTGGCTTTCACAGAAGCATACCTCAGGAGGAACAGGGAGCTGCTGAGAGGCGCTCAAAGGCCACGCAGCTGGCTGGCCATGTGCCCGGGCCACAGCTACTCAGAACCTCCCTCTCCCCACAATGTGAGCCCACACCGTGCAACTGCTTCCTGTGGGGACACCCAAGGGTGCTTCCTGGACCCCTAGGTGTGGTCTGCACCTAGTCAGGGAGAAAACACCTGAGGCACTCCATGTTCCATGACCCCAGGTGACTTCCTTGTAGCATGGGGTGGGGTGCACACAGTCCACTGCTCCGCAAACAGGCCCCGAGTACAGTGTAGCGCCTGGTACCTGCTAAGATGCGTTCCACGGCATACTCGAAGTTGGACGTGTGGACAGACGTGTGGCCCTCCCGGGCAGCGTGCAGCGCAGCCTCATTGCAGATGTTTGCGATGTCAGCACCTACAATCCCCAGCAGCAGGAAACGGGGAGTGCTGGGACCTCAAGGCTGTTAGGGGCAGGTGGTCTTGGGATCTGAATGCAGGGGCATCCTAGAGGGAGGCTGGGTGGGGTTGACTCAGATGGCCATCGCCATTGAGGGAGTGTGACCTTGGTGGAATCAGGCAGTTCCTAATTTAAATCCATGACCATCTGCTGCTGATTTCTGGTTTTCTGCATCCTGTCATTGGCAACATGCTCTGTTTACGACATTGCAGCATGCATTGCTAAGACTATCATCCTCAGATCTCCACTTGCAGGTGTTCAAAGAGTCAACTTACAAAGATATTACAAAGGGCAGTAATAACAAAAAACATAAAACCAAGTCGGTACCAGGTCAGAAAGCACCATCGCATGCACCCGTGTGCACCAGGGACCAGCACAGGAGGGGCGCTGGGCAAGAAGTGCAGCCTACCACTGAATCCAGGGGTCAGCTCTGCCAGACGCTGCGAGTAAAAGCTGCTCTCCCGGGTCAGCTTCAGGCTCTTCAGGTGCTGCTCAAAGATCTCCCTCCTTTCCTGCCAGAGACCAGGGAGAGGAGGCAGGCTCGCGTGCACTTCTGCAGGGTGCCTAGGCAGCCCCATGCCTCATGGCCAGAGCATGCCTGTCCCCAGGGACCCACCCACCTGCAGGGTGGGGAGGTCTATGAAGACATGGCGGTCCAGGCGGCCAGGCCGCATCAGTGCATTGTCCAGAATGTCAGCCCTGTTTGTGGATGCGAGGACAATGACGTGGTCTGTCGTGCCCATGCCTGGGAAAAGTGCAGACACTTGGTTTTTGGACACACTCTGCCACCAGTGGGCTGCGTGGCCCTGCAGGCAGCAGTGCCCTGCCTGTGCTCACCGTCCATCTCCACCAGGAGCTGGTTGAGCGTCTGCTCCTCCTCTGTGTTGGAGAAGCCAGACATGGTGGAGGAGCGCTTCTTGCCCACGGCATCAATCTCATCAATGTACACGATGCAGGGCGCCCGCAGGCGGGCTTCCTTGAAGAGGCTCCGGACTCGGGCGGCCCCGAGGCCTGGGGGACAGAGTATCGAAAACTGAGGGATGATGGGAAACGACACTGGATACTTCGACTCCATCCAAACAAGCCTCCTCCTCTCACACCACCACCCACCGTGCCCACCTATGCAGACTGCCCCAGCGCCCAGGGCGAGCAGCTCTATGACGTCAGCCCAAGGTCCCGCTGCGTGGAGTCGACCTCGCCATCTCACCTACCTCCGATGACCTCCACAAACTCGGGGCCGGCCATGGCCAGGAAGGGCACCTGGGCCTCCGTGGCCACAGCTTTGGCCAGGAGGGTCTTCCCGCAGCCGGGGGGACCCAGCAGCAGCGCACCCTTTGGGACTTTGGCTCCTAGCTGGAGGAAGCGCTCCGGGCTCTGGAACAGGCAGAAAGAGCAACAGTGACCTGGCCCCTCAGCCAGGATGTTCAAGGAGTGGCCAGCAGGCCCGCCACCTCCCATCCTTTCTTAGGCCACACCAGCAATCCCGTTGGGGTTGCAGGCACCTGGCACCTGGCAGTAAATCCACCAGGGGAGGCACCACCCCACATCTGGTCACCAAGATCCTAGTCTTCGGGCATCTGTGGCTTCAGGCTTCCTCTCAGGGAGCTGGAACACGGGCTTCCTGGTCCACACACTTCACAGCTCACTCAACCCGTGCACTCACCTTGAGATAATCCACAAATTCCTTGACCTCGAGCTTGGCTTCGTGCATTCCTGCCACATCTTTGAAGCTGACTCCTTTGCCCATCTTCCCATCCACGATGGTGAAACGAGCCATCTTGAGCTGATTCTGTGCAGAAACAGATGAAGGACCTGTGTCACGGCAGAGAGGGACACTCCACACCTGATAGGTCACATCGGAGACTCAGACATTCCGTGTACCCAACAGGACACTTGGTCCCTCCAAAGCTGAGACTCGGCCATCCAGCCTACTCCCGACAGGACACTCAGCCTTTCTGCTTCTGGGATATAGCCGCCCTGCCTACACCACCTGTCTGTCAGTTTGTCGCCCTGTGGTGGCCCACACCTGACAGGGCACTTGCTCCACAGCTGGTAGGCCGGCTCCCCACGTCACGTACTCTTCATCTTCATCTCAAGAGGTGCCAGGGCACCTCCTCCGGGGGTGTGATGGGCCCCCTTCTGTCCAGCTCTCTTTCCACCTGAATCAGGGTTGCACATCCATTCTCCAGACATCAGGGGGCAATGTTCACAGCATCAATTTGAAAGAACACTGTCTGGTACTCACTGAAAACAACGCCCAAACTGCTTGCCTTCTACACAAACGGTTTCCCCCACTGCTGAGCCTTGCTCTTCTGATCTTGACAGCAACGCTAGCGCTCTCCGGACCAGTCTGGACAGGAGCGCCACAGGCGCACTTGCAGAGCCTCCTGGAGAGGCCCAGCCCAGCGCGGATGCAGGCACGGCTCACTGAGCCCTGCTCCCGCACGGGCTGGGCTTCATCACAGGGTCACGGTCATTTGGAGGCCCCCAAGCATAAAGTAGCAGCCCCCACACATGACAATCACAGACCTGGTTAAATGGAGCACAGCCCAGACCAGCAAGTGACCACGCTGCCGCTGGGCTGTGGCCACAAGCCTGTTATGGGCACACAGGCTCATGCAGTGGGGCCAATGTGACCAGCTCCATTGGTCCCTTCCATCGGACTGGCTGCCCCTGCTCAAGTCGAGAGAAAGTCCTCTGTGCGACGCCTGCATCGGGGAATGTGCTGGACAGGCAGGAGGGTGGCTCCTTTGTTCAGTGACCACCTACAGTTTCTTAGCATCTGAGCTTGGAGGGAAACCACCACTGCCTCTCCCAGCTGAGCTGAGCCTCCTGGGTAACGTACCCTCAGACACACTCCACTCACCTTGGAGGCCCTTGCTGGCATAGCTAGGGGTCAGTTTTCCTGTCGTTCATGGGACATGCTCTTGGCCAGTACTGTCACAGACAAGCCCAGAGACTAAGTTTGGGGAGATGTGCAACTTACAAAGGCGCTGAATCCACCTTCTCGGCCCGTCATCCCGGCAAGGCGGAGGATGTACCACAGAATGGCCAGGCCCACAGCTGTCATCCCCACAGCATACAGAGCACTAATGGGGGGAGGGGGGGGAGAGGTATAAGTGCCAGGTGGTCACCTGACCAGGCCACCAGCAGATCCACCTGGACGCCTGACAGTGTAAAAGCAGCAGCAGCTGGTGTGAACATTGGCCAAAGGAAGGAGAAAATGAGAGTAGAGAAGGTTTTCTGGCCACTGCTGTCCCCAACTGCCCCCCCCTTCCTGCTGTGACCACACGTGAGAGGCCATGATACGACACGTGGGGCTGGGCAGCCTGAAGCCCCCAGGGACCCTGGTGCCTGAAGCCCGCAGGGCTAGCACATAGCCCCAGAGCCACACGCACTTTCCAAAAAATCCTGTTCGCTTGTAGGAGACCGGGATCCTGTCCTTGGCTTCAATGTTCAGCTCGTCTTCAGCTGCTCGCAGCTTCTCTTCAAACTTGTCGATGTTTGCGACCTGCATGCGGTACATCAGGGCCAGCCGCTGGGGGCACAAAGCAGAAGGCACTGAGGGATGGGCTGAAAAGGCTGTCCCCACCGAGCCACAGCGAGGCCTTGCAGAGCCACAGGTATTCTGAAGGGGGCTTTCACCTGCCCTCTGGAAGACCGCCCCCTCTGCGTCTGAAAGAGCTTTTGCGTTTTTATACACAATTATAGCAACATTGCATCAGATGTACTCTCAGTACATGGCCAAGAGTGCTTCCCCATCCCCGCTGGGCCCTAACAGGGGTCCCAGCACAGCTGCTGAGACCAGTGGGGCTGCACACAGGGGTGCGATGTGTCTGGGAGGTACACGATCTTTTCTGGAAACCTACTGGGAAAACCAGATGGCGGAGAAGTGGAGCTGAACCATGAGGGATTCAGGTGAGAGTGTGGTAGGGCTGTGCTCTGCCCTCCCTCCCTCACTTACTGGCCGGCCAAACACCACGGCCCCAGGATGCAGGTGGACCTCCACCACGTCGCTCTCAGGCACCACCTGGATACGCTGCACCTCGCCCTTGGCCAGCATCTCTCGGACAAAGTCGTTCCAGGAGACGCTGCCACCGCCAGGGTTCAGGGAGTTGAGCAGGCTCATGATGACAGCAATGACAAACAGAGTGCGCAGCCGCTCCCGGTACATCTGGTCCTCGCGCTCCTTCCGCTTCCTCTCCTCTAAGAAACAGCGAGCTCCTCTCAGCCAGAGGGTGCTGCGGCTGGGAGCTGATGTTGAAGCAGGGGCGGCCACACAGAGCAGTTTTGAGGTGGCTTGGGTGTTTATGCATGTGGGGCCCCTTGGGGCACAAGTGATGCAGGGGCCAGGCCTATGGGCACAGACACAGCGCCCTTCTGCCCTACCACCGAGGCCACCTCTCCACCCCACACACCCCAACTGCCCGGCAGAGTCAGCTCCTCATTAAGAGTTTGAAGAAGAGAAACCATCTCTACAGGTTTGTGTCCCTCACAAGAACCCAGCACAGCATCTTGTCCACCTGCCCAGAGCAGGGCACACAGATGCAATGAAGCAGACAGGGGCGGCAGGCACACACAGGTCCCTGGTTGCCCAGAGTCTACATGGTTTCCTGGGGCTGAGACTAGAATAGACTCGTGAAGACAAGCAGCAGCTGGGCAGCAGCGCTGTTGAGGACTGCCAGACTGAAGTACCTTCATCGTCTTCGGGTGGTTTCGCCCTCTTGTTACTGTCCTTATTCTTCTGCCTCGTCCTTGAGGTGCTAAAATAGTAGGTGCCACCTAAAAAGGACAGCAAACGTCTTGACCAACCCGGGCTTGCAACTTGGGGGAGACACCCAGCAAAGCCTGTATTAACAGATGGCGGAAATAGGCAGAACCCATATGAACAATTCTGCCTGTGAGAGAGGTCAGCCTGTGAGGGCAGGCACACTTTTGCTTTTCTCATTCTTAATGGAGAGAACTGCCAACTGCACACTAAGGAACCATTTCCTTTTATGGGGTTAAACATCTTGCCGAGTTAAATTAGTCAGCAAACATCAGTCGTGAACATAAACTTGACAAAACATGAGAACCACCCTTCAGGTCCACTCAGTTACTTTCAGTGAAACTAAAGCAACAAAACAGGTGGCTTTGGCACATATGACAGCAGCAGTAGCCACTGTGACAGCCACCGAGATTCCTCGTGGGAAAGGCTGATCTGTGTGTATCTCATAGGTCTGTTTCAAAAGGGGAAGGAGAAGAGTGAGGCGTGCAGGCAGGACCGAAAATGTACCTTCAACCTTCCCTTACAGAAACAAGAATAGAATCACAAACAAGACTACTTGGGTTTCTCACTCGCTGCCATCAAGTGGATGCTGACTCGTAACTCTATACAGGAGCAGAAAGCTCTGTCTTTTCTCCCTCAGAGACGGTGGTTTCGATCTGCTGACTTTGTGGACCGCAGCCCACTATGCCACCTGAGTCCCTCTTCAGTTTAGTCTGTTTATTTCCGAGGCTTCACTGGAGCCTGCTGGCCCATGAGAACATTCAAATGTGAAAAAAAGACTTCACGGAGGGCAGATGTGCAAGGATCAGCCACACCCCAGAGGCCGGCCAGCGGCCTCCTCACTATTCTTGGCTTTCACGTCACCTGTTGACAACAGCCCTTGATGGGTGCCGTCAAGGCAGTTCTGACTTGGCGAGACCCTCTGAGCACGACAGGACAACTCACTGCCTGGTTCTGTGCCGCCGCCGCAGCCACAGTGTCTGTCCATCTCACTGAGGGTCTGCCTCTATTTGTGGGCCTTCTGCTTTACCAAGCATGATGTCCTTCTCCAGCGACTGAGTCCCCAACGTATGGGAGATGAAGACTCTCCATCTTCACGTCTAAGGAGCATTCTGGCTGTTTGTTCCAAGACAGTTTGTCTGTTCTTCTGGCGGTCCACAGTACTTCCAATACCGTAATATGCAAGTGCGTTCATTCTTTTCCAGCGTTCTTATTCACTGTCCAGCTTTCAGATGCACATACGGTACTGGGACTAGTTCATGTTTGCCCTGCGACTGCTGGACAGAGAAGGGAGTTAATGACATTGCATCATGTCACTCCTTCAGGCCCTTCAATGTCAAGTGGCTAGCAGGGCTTGCAGGTAGGTGTTTTGGTAAAGAGAACAATTCCATTGTAAAGGTACATTAGCTACAGGCTCCTTTTTACCTTCTGGACAATAAAACATTCAAACCCATTTAGTAGGTCAGTATTAAAAAGTTCTTGGAGCTTAGCTTCCCTCCCTCCCCCAAACAGCCCAATTAAAAGTTATCACAAAGTTTTTAAAGCCTATTTAAAATTAAGTAAGAACACCAGTTCAGATCTTAGAGACACACACACACACACCCCTTCCCCGCCTTTAATTCAAAAACCTCCAAGGGCTGGGCCTCACAATAAGAAGCCAAAGGAACTTGGTGGCTGGAGGAATGGCAGATTCCTCTCCTGTCGATGGCAAACCAGTGACGCTGGCCTGAGAAGTGAAGACCTGCTCCACCCGTCTTCTCAGTACGTACACACCTAGAATGTTCCAGAGTCCAACCGGGTCCTGAATCAGATGCTGTTTCACTAACAACCCCCTGATCCCTTGAAAGGTGGGGGTCAGCTGTCGTAACAGTAAGCTCTGGAAAAGAAAAAGATGGAGGCTCACACCCACGACCCACATGGGAAGCAAAGTGAACATTACTTCAGAATCACAAGGTCATTAGCACATGAGCAAGTCAAGTGAAACGCCAAGCAGATACGGAGTGCACTGGCTGTGCCTTGAGACTGAGGTACGCTGGTAGGACGCAGACAGGAGGAGCCCACCCTACTGACCAGAGCGCCTTTGCTCTTGACATCTCCTGAGATCATTCCTCCCACGACATCCCCAGGCACCATAGCTAATTTATCAGTTGGATACCCAGCTTACTTTTCCCACATGCTTGGGTTGTTTTGTTTTTTTCACATGGTTGGTTTTTAAGAGCAGTGGTCTGACTGTGTTTTTTCCTATTTGAGTTTTCAGTTCCTTTCTTTATGGTATTTTATCCCCCCACTCCTGCCTTAGCTCATCCCTATTCCACTGATGCTATGGACATCGGTGACACCTTGCTCCACACTGCGTGCAGAGGAGAGTGGGTCACCTCCTAGGAGCACAGGGTGGACATGCTGGGCTCTTTCATTGTTCTTGGCTGGGTTATGACCACGAGAGTCATACAGTGTGGCTGCAGGGGCGTGTTAGAGCAAAAGCACTTCCTTCTTGTGAGTCCCACCACATGTCTATCGCTTGCATGAGGTTACGGCCGCTGGAGTGAGAATCTGTCCAGACTTCACAACATCAGCTCTGGGATTCTCAAGGTTAAAAGTTCTCTTCCAGGCCTAGGGTCAAACTAATGAGAGATGGTTTCCTTCCCAACAACAGCAAAACATGTAGTTAATCTATAGTTGGCCTCAGATGTAGTATTATAATTTAAATGGGGCCTCACAAATTATGGTAAAAAACAACACTACTAATAAAAGATAAAACAAAACAAAACAAAAAAAACACTACTAATAAACCAGAACATAAAATGTAACAGTTGAACTCCTAAGAGAGGACTGGGGGAAAGAAAACACGAAAACCAAAAATGGTCAAATGCTTTAAAACCCTTTTCCATGTTTTCAGGATCTTAATCTTGGTGGAGGGCAGTGGCGATTCAGGAGTAGAATTCTCACTCTCCGCATGAGACGTGGGCTCGGTTCCCAGCCAAAGGTCTCCTGCAACCACCACCCATCTGCCAGTGGGGCCCCGCGGCGCTTGCTGGCCTGGGATCCCAGCCCAGTACAGGCAAGGCGGCCAGAAGAGCCGAGGGACTGATTACCTGCAGGGCTCGGCCTCCAGCCCCAGCTTGACTCCCCGGAGGCCCCTGGGAGAAGTGCAGCCGCTTCTTCCCGACCCCGGCGAGGAGGCCTAGGCTCCAGCACGAGCCCGAGCTCCGCAGACGCCCGGGCCCCGAGCCCGCGCCCGGATGGAGGGTACGCAGAAGCAGCAGCGCAGCTGCCATACTGGTACTGACACAGCGCCTGCGCGGCCAGAGCTCCGGGAAGCGCCTGCGCGGCCCAGAGGGCGCCTGCGCGGTCGGGGTGTTGGTGCGCGCCTGCGCGGCCCAGAGGGCGCCTGCGCGGTCGGGGTGTTGGTGCGCGCCTGCGCAGTCCAGCCCCCAAAGGCTTCTGCCCTGTACGTCCCATTTTCCCGGGCTTGTGGTGGTGTCTGTGGCGCACCTCGCTCTTCCGGTGGCTCCACTCCCAGTGGGATTCCCTAGCCATTTTTTGAGGTCCTGTAACTCGCTGAGCTCCGGGGACACATCAGCGAGCCCAGCAGGCGTGGGATTTCGAGGCGCGACGACTCGGACTCCGCGCTCGCTTGGAGAAAGGGGTTGGGGCTCTTCGGAAAATTCTAACAGCTAAAATTTTCAGAGAAATTTCCATCTTCTTTCAAGCTGGGTTTCCAGGACCTGGCGAATGAATGGATGCTTGGGTTGACGATGGTTTTAATACAGACCTAATTAAGTGGGGTTTGTTTGGGCTTTGGCCCCCTCATGTTTGTTTACTAGTGAGGAAACCGAGGTGACTTTAGAAGAAGTCTTTAGAGGCCCAGTGGGTGGGGGAAGTGTGTGGGCGTCTGTGTGCCTTTCACCTTCTCTAACTCTCCTCTGAGGGAAACGTGCGCAAACGAGGTCAAACAACACAATTAAGAATCGCGGGGACCAAACCCAGCCTTCTTTGAGGACCAAGTACTGAAAAGTACACCCAGTACTAAAAGTACCTCACAGCTGGGTCTTAGGAGGGAGGCATTGCCCCAGGACTCTTCCAGTCAAGGCTTAGCTAACCAAGCCAACGTTGCCTTTTGTTGGCCTAAGAGGGCGCGCAGAAGCAGAAGCGCAGATAGTGACATTATTTTCCTTAACAGAAAACCTGCTCCAGCTGCAGCTGGAACGGTTAAGATGAAGAAGATGGACCTTTTGAAAGGAAGGTAATTACGCACTTCAGATGAGGGTGGGAGTCTGGAATATTCCTTCTCAGATCTTTAATTTGGGGTAGATAACCATCTTCTCAGAACATTTTAGTTATTTTCTGAGAGGCACGCCAGTATGCTGAGTCATTTCTGGAAGTTATTTACAGCGGGAGTAATCAACCATTGAGCCCGGCCAGGATTATGGTTCAGAAGACACAAGCCTGCTCATGGGAAACAAGGAGGCACTGTATCAAACTAGGGGGAAAGGCTCTGTTATTTCATGGTCTGTTGCACTCTGGGTGTTTGAAGACAACTCCGGAGTTCCCACTCCCCAGCTGCCTCAATTTCAAGGGGCCTCTTGGTCCCAAACTTTACTCGGTTCTAATTCCACTTCTATCTTCATTACTTAACTCTGTGACTGATTGTTCAGCTCTGAAATTCTTGTTGACTGGAAAAGGTAGATATTACAGGGGTGGGGTTATGATAACAAGTTTATTTCTTTGCTTTTTAAATTACTCACAATGAAAAATTCTAACAACTAAAATTACAAAGTACTAACTAGGATTGGTCCCATGTCAAACCTCTTATGTACTCTTTTCTCATTAAATTTGAGTAACTCTGACTCTGGTTCCAGTTGCTGTGGAAGAGCTGGTGTGCTTCTTCCTTGTGGACTTAGTTGACTCCTCGCTTAGATGGATGCTTGTTTGACGGCAAACCTTTAAGACCTCAGACATTGTTCCCATTGATATCAGGGCACCATCTGCTTTCTTCACACTTTGCTGTGCAGCACCCTTATCTTCAGAGATCATTTCATGAAGGATTGATCCCTTAATTTCCTGAATGATATTAAGCAGTATTCTCAAGCATTCTTTGATTGGCAGTTCAAGGGCCCTGTCTTCAGTGTAAACCATCGGGTTCGAGTCATCTTCAGTAATTGCCTTTTGTTTCTCTAGCTTTGTTTATGGCAGCTTCAGGGTCAGCTGTTGGGTATGTGGCATTCTTGGACTTAGGAGTGAAGAGGTGGCATTTAGTCTGTCAGTCAGGTGACAGCTTGATGACATCATTTGGAGGCGCTAAGAAGATAAATAGCTTGGTGGAAACTGGACATGCTCACTCCCTAGGAGATGATCCAGCTGACAACACATGGAGCTATGCTACAGCTCTGGAGCTGGAGGAGCCATGTGGAGACCCCTGAGAGTGCTGAGATGCGTACATCGCCACTGGATCCACAAGACCTTCCACCCACTGCCCTGCGATGGTCTTCCATTCAGCATCATTGAATGTGTTTCGTGAGTCTGAAGAGGAATTTATAGACTGGTATCAGACATATGGGCTAATATCAAACTTATGGACTTGATCTGGGACGTTTTCTCAATATTAAATTACTCTTGCATATAAATCTCTTTCTTATACACACACACACACACACACACACACACTTTTAGCAACTGTGAAGAAAATGATTACCCTACTGATGAGAAAACTTGAGATTCCAACAAAGTCAAGTAACTTGTCCAAGGTCACAGACAAGGTGGCACAGAGTTTCACTGCTGGTCTGGCTGGTTTTTCAGCATGCATTTCAAGACTTACAGACAGGGCTTGGAACTGGTTTAGTCATGGACAATGAAGCAAAACTGGTACATGGATTCGAATTGCCAAAATGTGGGTGAACTGGAATGGGAAAAATTATGGGTTGACACCTTGCTAGAAAACAAGGGTACAGCAGCCAAATCTCTGGCAAGTAGAGTTGGACATAGAGGTGCCCTGCTCAAGGGTTGGGGCCCACCAAGCTGCTGTGAATGCCTGTCACTCCCCACAGTCCTGGCAATAATCTAATCTTTCATATCAGGCTCCTGAAAGGACTCACTGTGCCTCTACCCAGTATCCTATTTCAGGCCTTCAACCTGTAATTTTTCCCATTCTGGTTGTCATTCTGCATCCAGATTTTTAGCATTTTGGCAGGTCTCTTCCTATTTTAGTACATCAAACATGACTGAACCTGTTTGAATCCGTTCGAAGCCCTGCTTGTAAATTATAAGACCAAGAGAGTAACATTGCTTTTATGTTTGCTCCAGGATTTTTTAAATTAAATAATCATTTTATTAGGGGCTCATACAACTCATCGCAATCTGTACATACGTCATTTGTGTCCAGCACATTAGTATATATGTTGACTTCATCATTCTCAACAACATCCATTTTCCACTTGAGCCCTTGGTGTCAGCTCATTTTTCCCCCTCCCTCCCCCTCCCCCTCAACCCTGAACCCTTGATAATTTATAGATTGCTCCAGGTTTTGAGGACATTTTTTTGCATGTTGGGATTTGGCCTTCAATTGCTTTTTTTAAATCATTTTATTACGGGCTCATACAACTCTTATCACAATCCATACACACATCAATTGTGTGAAGCGCATTTGTACATTCATTGCCCTCATCATTCTCA